CAACATATGTACTAATGTGCTGGACACAAATGACGTATGTACAGATTGTGATGAGTTGTATGAGCCCCTAATAAAATTATTATTTAATTAAAAAAAAATTAAAAGCTCATAGGAGTTTTCTACAAATTTCATGAAGCCTCCTCATACACTTGTCTTAGCCTTGTTAGGATGCCTTACACAGACAATTTTTTAAAAAGATACTTTTTGTGCCATGGCAAAAAGTAAGTCTGAGGTCAGTGCTAATGTGAAATTCTTCATAAAACCCAAGAGGATGCTACCCTCCATCATTAAAGCTTTGCGACATGTTGACAGGCTTGCTGCCCCACGTAAACACAGTCTTCGGGTGGATCAGGCATTTTAGGGCAAGTCAGGAATGAGCCGACAAACCACCAACCTTGAAACTGTGACTGAGGTCAGAACACGGTGCAAGTGACCTTAGAATTGCCTCTGCTGTGACCGTTACTGAAGTCAGGTCTTCACGTGGCCTGGCAGTTTCCATTTTAAGCAAGAATTTGGGGCCTGGCGGGGGCCAGGAACATGTGAAGATCAGCTGCCTCCCGGTGCTGGCTGGGCAGCAGTCTTTGAAAGCAAGAGTCAAGCTGATGAAGACAATTTGATGGAAACTGTCGTAACCAGGGGCAAGTCTTAGGTTTATTAACATGATGTAGTGAACAAGGTCCAATCAAAACTGTGGCTTTCAAAAGGGTAGGCTAGGCCAGTTAAAGTCAAAGAGATCAGCCTGGAATGGTAACTTTTTAGGAATTTCAAAAGAGTCATGATTTTCTCAAAAGACAGAGGATGATCACGGGGGCTTATGAGGACGTTTTAAGAAAACAGCAAACTGCACTGACGAGAAAAGGCCAGCAGTGTCGCACCAAAGGACTGTTCCCATCACGGCACTGCGACTGCTCATTCTGTCCTCACGCAGGCCTGTCCCATAAGGGTTTTGTTGGGAAAACGTAGGCCTCCACTCAATAGCCCAGCGATTGCTCCTCAGACTTTTATTCCTCAAAGAACATTTAAAAGGACCACAATCGGAATCGCTTGAGCATGCTAAATTTTGCCACGTAGAGACCTAGATGAAGATATGTCGAGAAACAGCAGTTTTACATTTTGATATTTTGCTTTAAGGAAGGTTTCCCTGCTTTTATTGCAGTATGTCTTTTGCCTTACGTTCATGTTTTAGAAAACCAATACGTGAACCTGTATTGTATACGAATCAGGAAAAGCCCACGTGGAATGTGAACCAGAATCTTTAACATGTAACATGACTGTATTTGACAGTGCTCCAAGCCATATTACGAGAGTACGGCCTTGTCCCGGAAGTACATGCCGGTGTGGTTAACAGTGAAGGCTCACCATGTCTGCTTTTACTCCAAAAGGGTTTGGTGAAAATTTTACATAAAGTAGTCATAAAAAAAGAACAATTACAAGGGTAGCAAAATCTAATCATGAGTAATCTAAAGGAAGGGTATCAAGAATTCATTCCTAAGATCTTCAGTCAAATTGTCTTAGACTCTAATTTTCTTTCATTTGGTACAGCTTTGGAGGCTTGTCAAAACCTTCCATATCTTCAGTCCAACAGAAAGCCAGCCATAGTCATGTGATTGCTCAATTTGTTAGTGCAGAGCAATGTAAGCATGAAGATCCGACGGGAGGCTATTTCTGGGGGTACCAGAGCTTTCAGATGGTGTGGAGAGAGCAGTCTGTGTGGGGGATGCAAGCGAAGCCCAGTAACGGAGGCACAAAGGAGTCAAGAGTGGCCAAAGGAGTTAAGACCTAAGTTTTGTCCTTCGAGTTCACAAGTTACATAACCCTGTCTGAGCACTGAGGAAGAACAGAGGTGGAAAGAAGCCTGGTAGCATTGGGTAAACCAAGTTGTTAGGTGCCATCTAGCCGAGTCTGGCCCGGAGACACATGTCCCACAGAGGAAGCACGCTGGCCCTGCACCATGCGGGCCACGTTCTCTGTGCGTGAGTCCACTCTGGCAGTCTTGAGAGTCTTCCTCGTTGTCAAGGGTCCTTTTTGGTACAGGGACCATGGTCTTCCTTGGTTGCTTTGTGCATAACTTGATCCGCTGTCTGGAGAATGCTTCGATATTACAATCGAGGACTTGATTGTTTCCTTCTGGCTTGAGAAATGCCGAGCGGTTTCGGAACTCCAAGTCTTCACACATTTCACTTGATCTTAGCCAAAAGGCCGAGCAGCGATGTCTTCACACATTTCATGATAACACCCGGCTTTCTTGAGCCACCCCTTAAAATCTTTTACTCAGCTTTTATGACATCGCCCGTTTGTTTCAGCTACTCTACATTTACGAGGAAATTTCAGTCTCTTCTGACATCCATTTTGGTTGTTGCTTTCTTGCCTGTGCTTCTAATGGCCTTTGGCTTTCTTCAGGTGTGGTGTCCTTGATGTCACCCCACAGCTCCTCTGGGTCTTTGGCCATCAGTGTGTGCGGTGAAGTGAAAACTCTTACGATGGCTTTTCTGTCCACGTCCCCATGAACTCTGACCAAATTATTGAGTCGCTCGCTGTCAGCGAGCCAGTTCTGACTCGAGAGAGACCCTAGAGGAAAGGGGAGAGGCAACGCCCTGGATGTTTCTTTCTGTACCTCTTTACGGGAGTGGAAAGCCTCACTTTCTTCTGAGAAGCAGCTGGTGGTTTCAAACTGCTGACCTTGCAGTTAGCAATGTGTAACCATGATGCCACCAGGGCTCCTGCAAGTATTGGGTAAAAGCAGGCAAATGAGTATGAGAAACACTACTAGAGGGAATTGGTCAGTCTGGTTGCCCCTTCCCTGTGTAAAAGAATGCCATCTTGGGAGCAGAGGGAAAGAATTCCCAGGACCAAGGAAGACCCACCAGTAGAACATGTCTGAAATCCCTGCCTGAAGGGGCAGAGGCAGCCGAGGCTATGCAACACCAAGACTAGAGGCCACGGCAGGGAGACTGGGCGGCAGCGCAGAGGCGCAGTGCCAAGACTAGGAGACCCTGAGGCAGAGCAGTGTGCAAGCTTCTTGACCCCTGGAGGCAGAGGCCAAGGGGTCATTGCCATGGCCACACAGCTCAGACTTTGTGACGAGTGTTATCTGAACTGTGTGGCCATGGCAATGAATTCTGGAACCCAGTGAAGAGCAGAGTGTCGTGGGAGGAACAGTTGGTATCGGAGGCATGTCTGATCTGTCTTGTGGCAACAGGACGTGGGCAAATGTGACAGATTCTCCTCCTTCTCTGACCAGAGGAGGTCAGCTGTTGTCTCCCAGACCATTGCTTAAGGCACCAAACCTATTCTTCAAATACTCTCTAAATCCAGGTAAGATACACTGCATGTCACACTTTGGCTCTTGTTGGCTTGCTTTAAATTTTGCTCACCTTCCGTATGAACTTCTACACGAGCAAGTGGTGATTGGTTCCATAGTTGACCCTTGGTATTGTTCTGAATATACTATCCTGAGCTTTTCCATCGTCTTTCCATAGATGTAGTCAATTTGATTTCTGCATATTCCACAGTAGGATTGCTATCTGTTCTTGAAAAACGGTTATTTCCAATGAATAGGTTTTTTAGTCTCGCAAAATTACCGTATGACCCTTAGCATTATTTCAATCATCAAGGGCTTATTTTTCAAGTACTGATTTTCTTTGTTTCCAACTTTCCCAACCTAATCACCAAAATTGTCAATTCATTTTTATTACATTTGATCAATTTCAGACTGCAGAAATTGGTTAAAATGTTCATCTTTGGCACTGGTGGGTCGTATATAAAGTTGAGTGGTCATTAACTTTAGGAAGATGGATATTCGCCTATCACGAACAGTGTGATATTGGGATGATCCTGAAATGTCCTTTTTGACGATGGAAGGGGCACCAGGCTCCTTCATTCCCAGCACAAACCCTGTGATTGTCCGATTCAAAATGGCCAAAGCCAGTCCACCTCGAATCGCTCATGTCTAGGATTTGGACCTTTCCGGTTCCATTTCAGGATGAGGGCAGGTTAAATAAATGCTGAGAAGTGATTTTAGAGAGTCTGATAATACATTCAACGTTTTCACTCTTGCACAAAGAATGCTGTAGGCACCCATTCTGGTACAGGTGTATTGGTCCAGGTTCAAATATTTACCAGATAGCATCTAAATGTCAAAAGAATAAATGTCTTGGAAGAAAGTACAACCAGACTGCTCCTTAGATGCCAGGATGGTGAGGCTTTGTCTCACGTACTTTGGACAGGTTGTCAGGAGAGACCAGCCCCTGGAGGAGGGCATTAGCTCGGTAAACTGGAGGGGCAGCACAACACAGGAAGGACTTTGATAAAATGGAAGGACACAGTGGCTGCGTGGATGAGCTCAACATCAGACCGATGGTGAGGACGGCACAGAACTGTGAACCCAGGGTAACTACAGGTCAGGACCGACACCACGGCACCGCACAACAGCATCTACGTGCCAAGTGCTGTGCTAAAGACAACCATTTTCAAATCTGTCAAAAAATAAAGGCAGGACAAGGGTATAGAAACATGGGTAGCAGAGGTACAAAGATTGTTCTACCTGTGAGGTACAGGTCAGCTTTTACATCCCGAAGAACAGTGCGTCCAGAACCAGCACACAGGGCCACCACTCTGACTTGGGACTCTGCAGGGCAAAGAGAATGAGAGAGACCAGCAGGTTACCATCCCCTTCATTTTAGTAGTATTCTTAGCACAGACGCTCCTGAATGAAATGCAGTTCTCACTCCTTATCTCATTCCCAGTACATGCGTTTTGCCTACTAACTTTTGAACTAGAAACCTGTGTGCTGCTCAAGTCCTAGAAGGCAGGGTCATGAGGCTGCTGGCAAAGGAGCTTGACCTGGGCTCCAGGCAGCAGTGAGAGGGGGCCGGCTCTCTCGGGTGAGGAATCTGAGAAAGGAAAAGGCTTCTTGGAGGAATGCTAGGAATTGGTTTGGCACTTAATTTTTAAATCCACTGTTCGGCTTCAAAGAATATTCTCTGAAAAGTGAAGGAGCAGAAATGTTCAAGCCAAAACCCAACAAGTCCTTCACGCTGAAGTGTCCTGAGCGGACCCTCCGTCGGTGCTCACTGCAGGTTCCCGGCAGGCTTTGGCGCTGGGTCACTTGGATCTTTCTTCGGAAAGGCATTCCCATGAGTTTTTGATGGCCTATCAACTTTTGGAGAACTTAATGGTACCATTCACTGTACTTCTGTGCACCAGTCTGCAGGCCACGGGGTTAAACCATCCCCATGAGAGTTTGGTATTAACACAACTGTACAGAAGAGGGGACTGAGACACACAAGGACCAGAGCAGCTAAATATGAAGTCAAGTGGGCTGACTCGAAAGTCCAAACTCCTAACCACTATGCACCCAGCCTCTGCATACGGCAGACTCTTACCACAGTGCTCGGCTCACTGTAGGCATCTACTCCAGGCCCTGTCCATTCTTTCCCCAATGTGCAGAAGGAAAGACAGTGGCCTTGAGAATTGGCAATGGAGCAATGACTTGGTAGTGCACTATCTATCCGCTTCCAGTGCCGGGGGGTCTGAGAGGTCTGTTGTAACTGCCGCAGGTCTGCCCCCAAACTCTCGGCAGGAAGGCATGTCGCTCCCTCCCTCCTCTGTGCTGGACAATTTACTCGTCCTGGGGGATGAGGTGAACAGAAATAGTGTGTATCACTTCTAAAGCAGAGCTTTTCTCTGATGGTTAAAGATCCTTCTCGGGAGCACCTAATTTACAATGAGCAGACAGACTCCCCCGACTGACCTGAGACGAGCATGTAGTGTGCCTGAGACGTCTTGTGGTTTAAGCCACTGCGATGCAGACACACAGCCTAACCTAGTCCACCCCGGTCCCCAGAACAAACCAATCAGCTCCCACGGGCTGCTAGCATGTCTCCTATCATACATGAACACAACCATGAGTGATTTCTTTGTCCAATGTTATCAGCAAAATAAAAGGGGCACACTTACCTAAGGTCCTCCGTAGTCCAAGACTGAGGCGGAGGTGGGACAGTTTTAGGTGTCTCTTGATTCGTTCAACCATGATTGCCAAGGAGACCGGTTCATCCAGAGTACAAACTCGCCCCATCCCAGTATGTAGAAGCAGAGGCTGAAGAGAAGGCAGGGTTAGTAAGGCTGTGATGAGAACAAACATCAAATACCATCAATAAAACATACGGGGATGCAAACCTGACAAACCCTTTCTCTTAATTCTCGAGATTAAGAATCACAAGCAAAGAGCTTTGATACAAGTGCAGTTGTTGTGGGAGCATGCAGGGAGGGCAGGCTGTTAGCTGGGGCTAGGCTGAAGGATGGGGTGGGGAGCTTGGCGGCATTGGGATCAAAGGTTTCAAAAGGACCAGAGCTTTGAACCAGAAAGGAGTTCACAAAGCAATGAGATGAAGTGCCCTGAGGCTGGGGGTGGGGGCAAGAATGTGAAAAGCACTCCGTATAGAGGGGCCAGAGGTGTTTGAGGGAGGGTCCGAAGGAGACAGGTATGGCTGGTGTGCAGAACAATGAGGGGGAAGGAGAGGACCCCGAGGTACAAAGAGCTTTGGATGCTGTGCGAAAAAGCCTGGACTGCCTCCCGGGGTGTTCAGAGACCTTAATGTTCCAAGTGGGGAAGATGCGTCCCAACTTATATGGTGAGAGCGCTCGTAGAAAGGAGAGACACTGATACATCTGGGGACAAATTAGCACAGGAGAAGCGGGGAAAGCTTGACAAATATGGGAGCTGATGGCGCCACCAGTGAACTAGAAAATAACAAAAGCAAAGTCATTTAAAAATGCACTGGCTTATGAGATGTCAGCACTGCTGGGTAAGCACCGGTCTGCTAACCACAAGGTTGGCGGTTCAAACCCACAAGCCATTCTGGAAGAGAAAGTTGAGGCTGTCTGCTCCCGTAAAGATTTATAGCTTCACTTTGAGTCAGAATTGACTCAATGGCAATAGGTGGGAGTTTTACTTTGCTGTTTTTTTGAATGGTGGGTTCTTTAAGTGGGGAATGTTAGTTATTGGAAATGGGTTTGGTTGCTTGTTCCCATTAAGTGTTTCTGAGCCAGAAAGCAAAGGTGCAGGAATCATAATTGCACATTGCGTTAGAGGAGCGAGTGAAAAGGCCCATGCAGAGTCTAACCAAGAGTTTGAGTCTGCGACTAGAACACACTCCGAAAGGTCCATAGAGACCTCGAGCTATTCACAGGCTTTTCTTTTTGTGTCATTGGTTTTTTCGTTGTCGTTTCTTTTGTTGCTTTTTCTCTCGTTTTTTGTGCATATTATTATCTCTGCATGTCTATCTAGCTAAGATAGACGGGATAAACAATCTGAAGGAGAAAACAAAGGGGCCTATGGTTCCAGGGGGGACATGGGAGAAAGGGAGACGGGGGAAAGGAAGTAGGTGTTAACAAACCCAGGGACAAGGGAACAAGTGATCCAAAATCGGTGGTGAGAAAGGTGTAGAGGCCTGGTAGGGCTTGATTAAGGGCAATGTAACTGAGAGGAATTACTGAAACCCAAATGAAGGCTGAGTATGACAGTGGGACAAGAGGAAAGTAAAAGGAAATAAGAAGGAACTAGGAGGCA